TTTCTGTTTAACTCCCCATTCAACCAAAAATTAAGCTTAATACAATTTTTAGTATATAGTGTTGGATGGTAGGGATGATTCTTAAAGGTTAAGATTTATATTCTGTTTTTAGCAGCATGTAAGAATGCTATATAAATCTTCCATTAAAAAAAAAAAGCATGTCTATACAGAAGATTGTAGAGTGAGCAGCACCTCAACACCAAATCAATGTATTCTGATGTTTTCCAGGAATACATTCATGGAACCCCTTGCTTACCCCACCTATGCATGGCTGCAGAAAGATGGCTTGTGTCATTATGAATGCAGTTAAGAAAACACAAATCTAAACTTGAAGAAACTGGAATTCAGCTCTGTCAATGAACCCTAACTTTGGGTAAACTGTCTTGTGATCCCTGAGCAAAAAACATTAATCTCTGAGTTTGGCTAGATTTCTGAAAATGTAACAAAACAATAATAAAAAGCTTCTTTGTTCCCATGCACGTATACACAGTTCAACACAATGAAAATTAGACCTTTGACAAATCAAAATGATGTAGAGATGGAAAAAATATCAGCTAATAACTGTATTCAGTCCACATTTGAATTTGTGCTTTGTATTTTTGCCTGCCCACTTCTTGCGTCATCGTTGAACATCTTCCCTCCCCTCCCTCCTTAAACTGCTTATGCCATTCAAAAACACTGGATTTCTTCATGGATTGTTCATCATACGTCTGTTGTAACAGAATAGTTTCACTGGCACTTTGCCAATTTTCACACAAAATTTGATGTTAATCCACTGCTCCAAATTCATTTCACTCATTCTCCACCAACAGAGAAATACACATGTGTTATTTCTTCTACTACTCCGTAAAGACTGACTCAACTGGTCTATGACCCAGGCAAGTGCAAGTTAGAACATGTCAGAACATGCTCAAGTGCAAATGGCTGTGAGACTCACCACCATAGTGCTACGTCACAGGCATTACGGGAATTTAACTTCACACCTTATACATACACTATATTGCCAAAAGTATTGGGATGCCTGCCTTTCCACTCACATGAACATTAATGGCATCCCAGTCTTAGTGCACAGGATTCAATATAGAGTTGGCCCACCCTTTGCAGCTATAACAACTTCAGCTCTTCAGAGAAGGCTGTCCACTAGGTTTAGGAGTGTGTCTATGGGAATGTTTGACCATTCTTCCAGAAGCGCATTTGTGAGATCAGACACTGATGTCGGATGAGATGGCCTGGCTCGCAGTCTCCACTTTAATTCATCCCAAAGGTGTTCTATCAGGTTGAGGTCAGGACTCTGTATCGGCCAGTCAAGTTCCTCTAGCCTAAACTCGCTCATCCATGGACCTTGCTTTGTGCACTGGTGCACAGTAATGTTGAAACAGGAAGTGACCATCCCCAAACAGTTCCCACAAATTTAGGAGCATGAAATTGTCCAAAATGTCTTGGTATGCTGATGCCTTAAGAATTCCCTTCACTGGAACAAAGGGGCTAAACCCAACCCCTGAAAAACAACCCCACACCATAACCCCCTCCACCAAACTTTACACTTGGCACAATGCAGTCAGGCAAGTACCGTTCCCCTGGCAACTGCCAAACAGATTGTCCATTGGATTGCCAAACAGAGAAGCGTGATTCATCATTCCAGAGACTGTGTCTCCACTGCACTAGAGTCCAGTGGTGGCATGTTTTACACCACTGCACCCGACGCTTTGCATTGCACTTGGTGATGTAAGGTTTGGATGCAGCTACTCGGTCATGGAAACCCATTTCATGAAGCTCTCTATGCACTGTTGTGCTAATCTAAAGGCCACACAAAGCTTGGAGGTCTTTAGCTATTGACTGTGCAGACAGTTGGCGACTTCTGTGCACTGTGCACTTCAGCATATGCTGACCCTGCTCTGTCATTTTACATGGCTGAGTTGCTGTTGTTCCAAGTTGCTTCCACTTTGTTAGAATACCACTGACAGTTGATTGTGAAATATTTAGTAGCAAGGAAATTTCACAGATGGACTTATTACACAGGTGGCAACCTTTCACAGATGTTTGTAGAAGCAGTCTGCATGCCTAGGCAGTTGATTTTATAAACCTGTGACTATGGAGGTGATTAGAACACCTGAATACAATGATTTGGAAGGGTGTCCCTATACTTTTGGCAATATAGTGTATGTGTATATACCTGCATACCTAAATATACACATATACATATGCTGCACATGTGCACTTGCATAGAAATGAAGAAAAAGCAATATCGGATGGTAAGTGATAATGTGTGATAAGTTCATTTCTGGAATTCTTTCTTGTACCAGGCCAATAAGTCAAGCTTTAAGCAGGTTGCAGTTGAGCTAGTTAGGTGCTACCCTGGATGGGAGCAGCATTATGGTTAATGTTGTTTGTGATCTTTTGTTTGGTGAGTTTCTTTGGGTCCGACCCAGTGGTCCTGTGATATAAAAAAGGGACAGTGGTCTGGAGCGAGTGGAGCCAAGCCAAGTTGGGAGTTGTAGAGAAAAGAGTGTAAAGCTAACTTCTGGGAGCTTGTCATGATGTAGGAGGTTATTGGGACCTGAGGTTTGCCTCGAAGACACCAGCCACTGAAAATGGATCTTTTCATACATGGACTTTACCACTACAGGTATGCCAGGGCAGCATATAGCCTGAGTTAGGATTAGAGATGTAGGGTCTAGAACTGTTATTATTATGGACTTTGTATGCTCAGGATCTAGTATAGTTTTGAAACTTTGCCTTCTGCCTGGTCGCAGTTATTCAAAGAATTGTAATGCATGGTTACCAAGGAATCAGCTCTGATGAAGAAGGGATCTCCCTTCGAAACGCATCAGGTTCTTCCTGAGAATCTCCCCTCTTGATGGGATTCACACATGTCTCCTAACCCAGGGACTCGGTTTTGGGATTTGATATGTCTGTTTTATTGCTACTCTTGTGAGTATAATTCCTATATCAATAAATCTACTAATTGCGTACGGAGGTAATGCGCAAGGTTGGTGCACTTTGTTCTTTGTTCCTTTCTACAGTTTATATCGAGCTTCCCCAGCTTTTTATTAGAGCTGCACAATATTTGATTGGTCCTGGAGGAACTTCTTCTACATATCATACTTTACATTGGTCCATCGGTCCTCTACTGATCTGGGTCCCTGAGTGCAGGAGGTGTTATCTGTGTTTAATGGAAGCAAAAGAGTTCGTTGAAACTGCTGGACAAGTGGATGTGGACAAGGCTCAGTGCGTCCCTCCTAATTTCAAATCTACAGTGAGAGTGTACATTATTACAGGGACCTGAGGGTTAACTGAAGGACAGTTATGGTGCAAGTGTGCATGATGTACATCTCTAAGGGTAGAGGTCAGCCTTCAAGTTGAGCTCCCCCCCGCGAGCCTCGGCCTTGTCCCAGGGCATTGATTAAAACAGCACAGAGTAAAGGTACCTCATGTGTAAAGTAGAGAGATCCTGGTGCCCAATGAGGGGGAACATGGAGTAAGCACACCCACCTACCCCCAACCAGCTTGCAAAGTGGCCTATTCAGCTGCCCTGATGAACAGTGTAGATGTCCCCTCTGAGGAATGCTGATTAGAGGCTCGGACAGCGCGTGAGGCAAAGACTGCTGATAACTGGCATTTCCTTGTTTACATGCAATCAGCTGTGATTGGACACAGCTGATCACATGACAGAGCCAACTTCATTGGCTTTTTTACCCTGATCAGTGATCCGCTGTGTCCCAGGGACACGGCGCACCACCGATTGCCACGCCACATCATATGATGTCCTCCCAGAATAAGAGAACTGTCGCCCACCCATCATTTTCTTATATGGCTGACGGGAGGCGGTTAAGCACCAAAAGAAGGTAAAAATAAAAAGTGCTCCCATAATCCCACCCAGGAATTTCTAAGCTTTGTATTCCTTAGTGTTTGTAACCCATTACAAATTGCAGTATTCTTCGCAATACATTGACGCACATTGACGCACATTTATTGCTTCAAATTGAAACAGATTGAATTCTATTCCATGTATTCCTTGCTTTGGTCTTGGCTGAAGCGGCAGTAATAAAGACAAATGTCTCTAGAAGGTTTATAGGAAAGAAAACAGTGGCAACCATTGTTACTCTACTAGAGGAAGCAGCTGATGCCTTATCAATTTCTGCTTTGTTTCCTTTAAGGGAACCCAAAACAAACAAGCTTATTTCTTTTACTTTTATGAGACCCACATATGGTCATATGTAGTTTTATTATATAGCTTTTGTTCTTGAAGATAGAGGATTCTCTGTACTTGTACTGTCCAGTGTACATGAGGCCCAAGGCATCAAAAGCTAAGTACTAGATATTTTGAAATTATCTTTCAGCAAACTTCAATCTAAAAGCTTGGTCAGCACTCATTCAGGTCTGTGTTCCTCAGTCCCATACTGGAGCTGCAGAGTGCTATTGAGGGTAAGTCCTCATGCACACTGGACATTTTGATAATGCTGGTAATGTTAGCTGTGTAAAGTCACGTTAAAAATGTGAGTTTTTCAGCTTTTTTTCATTAGCGTTTAGCGGAATTTTGCCACGTGTAGTGTCTTTTTTCTGCGTCTGTGTTTTTTTTTAGCATTTTTTTGACCCAAAGAAAAATATATTTTTTTTTGTAAAAGTCAAAAAATGCCGGTTTGCGCTGTTTTGCCATGTTTTTCAGTGTTAGAGCGTTTTTACAGCTAAAAAACTCCTCTAGAAACCCACTAGTTCTGGGGGTTTTTTCAGCCAAAAAATGTTGATTATAGTCTATGTGTGCATGTACACATAGGATAACATGCTGGGGGGTTTACTGGCTGTAGAAAAAAAATGTCAAAAGCCAAAAACAGCAGCTGTAAAAATGTCAAGTATGCATGAGGGCTGAGTGTATCTTCATTGACAACTTCCCTTCCGGCACATGTACAGAAACGGCTGGACAAGAGCAGTGCAGGAGCAGGTGGCTGTTTATAAATGGCCTCCGTATTCATTGCCTGCGCGTGCTCCCTGGGAGCGCGCAGGCCCGCAATCCGATGCCCGCTGTGTCCGATCGTTGTACGGGACCTCTGTGTGAGGTCCCTTTCATGTGATCACTGATTGGCCAGTCAGTGATCACAGGAACAGTAGTAAACAACATGTCACTTCCTGACATCATTGCTTACTATTTTGAAATGTGTGAATGATCACAGAGGTCACATGGTACAAGGCTATTCACAACAGCCTTGTACCATCTGACAAGCTGTGACCAATCACAGCTCTCACAGTATTTCTCAATGGCTGCAAGAATGCAGCCAGGGAGGAGAAATTATTGCTTTTACAGCCTTTCTGGGTGTAAAAGCAATCAGCGTAAAAAAAGAAAAAAAAATCTTCATCACCCCCCACAAGTAGTACAGTGTCACTAAAGGTACCAGGGGCATCTCATGGGGACCCCTACTGACCCCGGGCCCTCGGGCAGTGCCCAGTTTTACAAATGTCAGTCAGGCCGTGTGTGGGAGGAAACCAGAGTACCCGGAGGAAACCCACACAGGCACAGGGAGAACATGCAAACTCCAGGCAGGTGGTGCCGTGGTTCCAAAGTAAAAAGCATATAGGCACAAGCAGGGCCGAATCTAGCCTGTCTGATGTGGTGGTGCAGAAAAAATGTCAGGGGGGCAGAGAATGGGAGATCAGAAAGGCACTGTACAAGGGGTCAGCAGGGTATAGGATAGGGTCAGCATTATGTAGGGCAGTGTACAGATGGCATTCATTTGTAGGGCAGTGTACAGGAGACAACAGAGCTGAAGACAGGGGTCACTGCTGGCAGGGCAGAGGACAGGGGTCACTACTGGCAGGGCAGAGGACAGGGGTCACTGCTGGCAGGGCAGAGGACAGGGGTCACTGCTGGCAGGGCAGAGGACAGGGGTTACTGTTGGCAGGGCAGAGGACAGGGGTCACTGCTGGCAGGACAGAGGACAGGGGTCACTGTGGGCAGGGCACTCAGAAGAGTTCCTTCTCCCATCCCTGCACTGCACACAGCCTGGGTACAGGCGGAAGAGCTCCTCTTCCAGGGGAGGACAGGGGAGTGATACAGGCAGCCTTCCCCACCCCGCTGGGCCCAAGCTGAGCAGATCATTGATTTAGCTAGGCAGTACATTTACAAAGCTCCAAGGAGAGGACAGCTGTCTGCAGTATGGTTCAGCGGGCAGGTAGAGTGTTCAGGGTGGAGTGGGGGGCAGTTGGCTTTGGGGAGGGAGCACAACTAAAATCTGGGGGGCATAGCCCATTCCAACACCCCCCTAGATCTGGCCACTGTTTCAGGGGTGTGCTTATCTATTAGGACGAATAGTATACTCATGTTTTTGGGGCTTTGGTCATTTTTTGCCAACTCAATGAAATCCTGGGGGGGATTTACTAAAACTGGAGCACTCAGAATCTAGTGCGGTTGTACATGGTAGCCAATCAGCTTTTGACTTGAGCTTGTTTAGTTACATTTTCACAAGAAAACCTGGAAGCTGATTGATTTCTATACAGAAGAAACTGGCAAATGTGAAGGGTGAGGCTGAAATAGTAGTGGTGGGATGAGGTGTATACTGTTCAATTATATGGGGGGGGTTTGCAGAGCTGCACCAGATTTTGCACTCTCCAGTTTTAGTAAATCCCCCCATGTGTGCTTTTACCAGAGTTTAAGAGCAATAGTATTCAGAGGCAGTAAAATGCTCCTCTCCTGAAAGCAGAAAAATCTTGTCCAGGAGAGGAGAATTTTGGCAGAAAAACGCTTGACACAGCAAAACAAATGTAAACACGTCTAAACATGCATTAATGCTAGGCGTGTTTAGCGCTTGAGTGTTAATTAACTTCAATGGCTAGAATAAATTATTATTCCAGCCAACAAAATGAATTAACACCCAAACACTTGACTTGGCTAAACTCTTGACTTGGCTTAATGCAGTATACACATTTACAAGTGTCGAAAGTTTTTTTGCTGCCAGGAGAAAGGTGTCTAGGTAGTTGGTCCAGTGTGCATTAACCCTTAGGGGCACTGTCCCTATAACTTTGGCCAGTCAAAAAGAGAACAACAAAATGCAACCCAAAGTGCTGGAGGATAGGGATGCACCAAAATTTCGGTGGCTGGAATGTTTTGGCCGAAAACACCCCTATTGGCCACTGGCCATTTTGAAAATAAGCACAAATACAGGTGCTGAAAATAACCCCACCCCTCATTGCCGACCGATGCCACTGCTTGCCATCACCTGCTGCCACTCGGTAGTTCTCAGCCTTACCTGAGAAACCATTGAACAAATACATTGCTGCCCATAGAGATCAGTGAAAGAAAGATGGATTCCACTCATCTCTATGCCCTTTGGGGACTGGAGCGATGTCACTTCCAGTTCCAGCACCTTGCAAACAAGGCCTTTTTTTTTTTAAAGCACTAGATCAACACTTTTTTTCTAATGCTTTACATTGGTGAGGAGAGATGTGGGGTCTTATCGACCCCATATCTCTCCATAAAGAGGACCTGTCACTAATTATTTCTATCACAAGGGATGCATGCATTCCTTGTGATAGGAATAAAAGTGATTACAAAAACATTTTTTAAAGGGGCAGTGTAAAAAAAAAAATTAAATAACTTAAAAAAAAAGTTTAAAGTGCCCCCATCCTCCCATACTTGCATGTAATAGTGAACGCATACGTAGGCCATGCCCACATATGTAAACAGTGTTCAAACCACACACGTGAGGTATCGCCAGGAACCTCAGAGCATAATAATAATTCTAGCACTAGACCTCCTCTGTAACTTTACACTTGGTAACTTGTAGACATTTTCAAAGCGTCACCCATGGAGATTTTTAAGTACTGTAGTTTGACGCCATTCCACGAGCGTGTGCTATTTTAAAACATAACATGTTGGGTATATATTTACTCAGCGTAACATCATCTTTCATATTTTACAAACAAATTGGGGTATATATTGTTTGTTTGTTATATTGTATTGTGTTTGTCCCCTCAGAGGGGACATGTACACTGATCATCAGGGCACTGATGATCAGTGTAGTCCCAGCAGTGCCACCTGTCAGTTTCCATCAATGCCAGCTGTCAGTGCTCATCAATGCCACCTGCCAGTTCCCATCAGTGCCACATCAATGCCACATATCAGTGCCTACCAGTGCACATCAATGCCACATATCAGTGCCCATCTGAGCTGCCTTTCAGTGCCACCTATCAGTGCCAATCAGTGCCACCTATCAATGCCAGTCAGTGCCACCTATCAGTGCCCCCAATCAGTGCCATCTATCAGTGCCAGTCAGGGCCCCCTAGAATGTGCCACCTATCAGTGCACATCAGTGCCCGTTAGTGCCACCTAACAGTGCCAGTCAGTGCCACCTAACAGTGCCAGTCAGTTCCGCCTATCAGTGCCAGTCAGTGCCGCCTATCAGTGCCACCTATCAGTGCCATATATGAGTGCTGCCTGTCAATGCCCTTCAGTGCCACCTACCAGTGTCTCCTCATCAGTGCCCATCAATGCCACCTATCAGTGCCCATTAGTGCAGCCTATCAGTGCCCATTAGTGCAGCCTCATTAGCACACATCAGTGAAGGAGAAAAATCACTTATTTACAAAATTTTATAACAAAAACTAAGAAAAAAATGTTTTTGTTTTTTCTAAATTTTCAGTTGTTTTTGGTTTGTTTAGCAAAAAATAAAAACTCAGAGGTGATTAAATACCACCAAAAGAAAGCTCTATCTGTCTCAAAAGAATGTTACAAATTTCATATGGGTACTGTGTTGCATGACTGCGCAATTGTCATTCACAGTGTGACAGCGCTGAAAGCTGAAAATTGTCCTGGGCAGGAAGGGGGTATAAGTGTCCTGTAGGTAAGTGGTTAAGGAAAAATACTGAAATATAGGCACTAGATGGAGCTACCAATCAAAGGAAATCAACACATTGAGCAAAATACAGTCAGAATTTGTGACAGCTGGGTGAAGGCTTGTGACATTCACTTGTCAAATGTATTATTAATAGACCCCTAAAGAGGTATTACACCCAGAAACCAAAGTGTATTATATTGCAGCTTACCAACAAGAGTGCTGGAAAGGTGGTGTCTGCACTTGTTTTATTGTTTTTAGGCTCTTTCACCTATTGATTTGGTCAGTAGGTCTGTTATTTTTCAGCTTCCTTTAGCAGACCAAGCTGTTCGGCAAAAGTGTCAATTAGAGTGTTGAGACAAACCATTTACCACTCACAGATGTGCTTACAATGATAAGGTTTTATTCTTTCATGTAAAATCTTTATCCCAAAAGGAAGAAAAACAGTTTTCTGCACCTGCTTAAAAAGTGTTAGTTGGAATCTGGCTTTAATTTATTATTAAAGTCCATCTAAATCTCCTAGGACGCCATGCTCACAATACATGTTTGATCACTTGTATGTGTACACAATGTCTCTTTTCGTTCTGCTCTGTAAAATCTGATTCAAAACGCAATAAAGACAAATTTGCCTTTAAATCTCCTAGGACATCTAACACTACCCTCTCCCCAGATTGAGAATACTACTGTCCAAAGGTGTTTCTATTGAGAGTGGAGACCCCCTAAGACAGGAGGTGTATTACTGGCTGGATCACCAGGTGAAAATAAAGCAAAAAAGCCTAAAAAAAAGAAAATGAAAGCAGCCATCACATTTAAGGATTGGTAAATTGGAAAATATTAATTTTTTATTGTTTTTAAGTTTAATACTGCTTTCCCAAGCAATAGTAGTAGAAAGCTGGTGACCACTTGTTTCCTTGTTTCAGGTTATATAGCTGTGGGTTACTTTGAAGTCCACCAAAATTCACTGCACCTCAGCTGAAACTGATCTTTTCTTGTTCAAATATTTTATTGAAGAAAAAGAAGAAAGTGCGACATCAGTTCAATACAGGTTTAAAGAATGACGTGAACAGGAAACAAAAGGCAACTGGGTCATAGATGGTCATATGAGTAGATGGCCGATAAATTGAGACTCTGTAGAGGATCCATTGATATGGACTATACCAGGGGGCAACCTCCGGCTCTCCAGTTGTTGCAGGACTACAAGTTCCATCATGCAAGTATAGCTGTATCTGTCATAATGTTGCAATGCCTCATGGGAAATGCAGTTCCAAACAGGAGTTGAGGACTATACATATAACAGGAGTAGAGGTTATATAATATCTATACAAAGAGTGCACAGGAGTAAATTAACAGCAAATAAAGCATGGTGATAGGTAGAGTGGGTTTCAGGGGCGGACTGGGGTCAGTAGGGGGCCTGGGGTCAGTAGGGGGCCCCATGAGATGCCCCTGGTACCTTTTTCATAGGCTTTTTTGAGTTTGGGCAAGGACACAGGGGCCCCATGATCCCCTATTGCCCGGGGGCCCCATGAGTTGTCAGTCCACCCCTGAGTGGGTTAGATGACGATTAGTAGACATCACCATAAAGGTAGCTTTTATTGGTAAAGTAGGTATGCATTAGGCAATTGAAGAAGGGACGGCCCAGAGAAGTAAATAAATGCTCCCGTGCGAAGGGGGAATAGTTAAGGGATTCCAAATACATTGCTCCTGTGTAGATAGTGTTGCAAAACCCACTAGGAAATAACACCTTCAAAATAGAGAGAAGGTGGGCTGAAGGAAAAAAATAAATAGAATAAGGAAATAGAGTAATAGAGAGAAAAGAAAGTGGTGTGGGGGAATCCCCCGGTACCACTGGGGAAGATGGAGTTGACATATATTGCAAATAGCACTGTCTAGAGTCATCATTTAGAGATTCATCAAAGTTCGGTTAGAAAAAATTTGTCACCCATGGTGTCCAGAGTGTTTTGAATTTGGCTACCCTATCCAGAATGGTTGCTTCTATTTTTGCAAGTATCATAGCTTGCATTGAAATTGAATTTTTATAACAAGCATATGCATTGGTTCATTTATATGCTGTTGGATTTACAGTTACACCACATCACATACAAAGCTTTACAATTTCAAGTTTTAGTGTGTAAACTCACACATGCACAGATGTTGCAATAATAATTATTGCACATTACCGCACTTGATTCACAAACCGACAAGTAGGAAAATTCAACAAACATACGGAAGA